GCATCATGCGGGAGGTCAGACTAGATGACCATAATGGTCCCTTCTGACCTTAAAGTCTATGAGTCTATGAATTTTTGGTGGTGCCCAGAACCAGTCCAAATCCTGTCCCCCCCCGTTCCCCCCACACACACCTGCCTATGGCTCTGGGAGGGAGTTTGGGTGGGGGTGGGGGGGGAGGGGGGCTGGAGTGCAGGTGAGGTGTGGGCTCTGGAATGGAGGTTGGGTGCTGAGTGCAGGCTCTGGGCTGGGGCAGCGGGTTGGGGGGCAGGCTCTGGGAGAGAGTTTGGGTGCAGGAGGGGTGTGGGCTCTGACCTGGGGCAGCGGGTTGGAAGGCAGGCTCTCGGAGAGAGTTTGGGTGCAGGAGGGGTGCAGGCTCTGGGAGGGAGTTTGGGTGCTAGGTGCAGGCTCTGGGCTGGGGCAGGGGGTTGGGGTGCAGGAGGGGGTTTGGGGTGCAGGCTCTGGGAGAGAATTTGGGTACAGGATGGGTGCAGGCTCTGGGAGGGAGTTTGGGTGCTGGGTGCGGGCTCTGGGATGGGATGGGGTGCAGGAGGGGTTTTGGGTGCTGGGTGCGGGAGGGGATTTGGGTGCTGGTGTGGGCTCTGTGAGGGAGTTTGGGTGCTGGGTGTGGGCTCTGAATTTGCTGGAGCCTGGACACTACGGGCCCATACAACTCGCCGCCCCTGAGCTCATGCAATGGCATGCCACAGCCAGCCCAGGGTGTGGGGTGACCACGTCCTGCAGGCTGCAGCCTGGCTCCTCCACCTGGAGGCTCAGAGCCTCACTGCTATAGTCTCAGAGGGCCTCACCCTCAGTCAGAGGCAGGGGCAGTGCTGTTACCGCCATTGCACAAACAGGAAACTAAGGCACAGAGTAGCTTCAGTGAGTTGCCCAAGGTCACACAGAGCCTGGCGCTGGATCCTGACCCCTTGTCCATTTCCTGCTGGAATTTAACCCATTCAAGCACAGGGCCAATCCTAGAATAGCAGGGGCTAGGGTACGTCAGGCTGGCGGTGCACTGGCAAAGCAGGGCGAGTGTGGGGGATCCAGCAGTGGACCAGCTGGGGCTGCCATGGCTGAACTCAGCTGGGAAGTTGGGCAAAGATCTACCCAAGCTCCAGTGCGGTCCTTTCTCCTCTAGGTGCCGTCTCCTATCCTGGACATGCAGTTCTCACCAAAGCGGGTAAGGCCTCATTAATGACCATTCACAAAGCCCTGTACAGGGCCCATCACACCCTGCAAGACAAGGATGCGACACCCAGGCTCTCCGGCCAGGAGCCACATGCTAATGCAGACATTCACGTGCTGCAGCTGTGTGGGACAGGATCCCCCACTCCAGGGCACCAGGGGCCAGGTGTGGTGCAGCCCAGTTGCAGCTGGGTCAGGCCCCCCATTGCATGGTGCCAGGAGTGGCATTGCCCAAGTCCACATGTGTCAAAGTGCCCCAATTTGAGTCAGGTGCCCACTCCCTGCACTAGTCTCTGAAGAGCTAGAATAGCTGGTTCCTTTACTAGCTAGGAGCTGAGGTGTGGGTCCAGCCCTGCACCCAGGCTCCTGCACGCCACTCTTCCATGGAAAGGGAGCCGGGGGTGCTGACAGCCGTTCTGGTTCCATGAGCAGCAGGAGCTGTTTGTGAGCAGCACCCATGGGCTGGTCCAGCTCTCCCTGTACCGCTGCGAGCTCTACGGCAAAGACTGCACGGACTGCTGCCTGGCCAGAGACCCCTACTGCACCTGGGATGGCAAGGGCTGCAGCCCCTACCGGCTGACTGAGAAGAGGTGAGCCCAGCCCTGCTTCCTTCACACAGTGTCCACCGTTCCTGGCTGTTTGCATGGAGGTGGGAAGAGGGAATTCAGAGCTGGTTACACACCCTGCAGTCCAGAGCCTCTGCCCAGGGGCCATGGACACTACTCACTGGACCAGACATTGCACTGGCTTCTCACAATCAACCCAAGTCAAAAATACAGAACCGCAGCAGCCCCTGTCTGTTCTTGTCTGGGGCCTTCCAGACACCCACCTGCCAATGCCCCTCCCTCCAGCCCTGCAGCCTCCTGCTATTCCAGCCCTGAGCCCCCACAGCCCTGCCAATGCCCCTCCATTCTGCCCTGCAGCCCCTGCTATTCTAGCCCTGAGCCCCCCTCCCCCCAAGCCCTGCCAATGCCCCTCCATCCAGCCCTGCAGCCTCCTGCTATTCCAGCCTGAGCCCCCCACAGACCCATCAATAAATCTCCATTTGATGCACGCCCTGCAGCAGGCACCTGGCTCACTGAGTGCGTTGTCTCGTTCCCCTCCCCACAGGCGAGCTCGCTGCCAGGGTGCGCTGAAGGCCGACCCGGTCAGTCAGTGCCAGGACACCACAGCGGGTGAGAATCAGCCACTGCGGCACCCCTCTCCCAGCGGCTGCATGCTGCCTAGCATGGGCTGTTCTCTTCAGCCATGGAGGAGGGAGCAGGTGAAACTCCGGCATGCCTCGGGTGCCTCTAGCAGGACTGGCCATGGGCAGGGCAATCCCATCCCGTGATGAAGACATTTCACCAAAGCCACATCATGGTGCATTTGCACACTGTACCACTGCACCATGCAGTGGGCTGAGCACTGGGGTGCTGATAGCCCCAGGAAGGACCTCCCCAATGCTGGCAGCAATGTACAGGAGCAGCTATCCCCAGCAGACGCACAGCAGCGCCACCCCCAGGCTTGTACAGTCACCTTAGACAACACGCTTCCCCCAGGAAGTGTTGCTTGCAAAACTGAACCCAGCTCAGTTCCAGGGCACAGGGTGTGAGCAGATCTAGTGCCAGGTGGCCATTGACATGGGGCTGGGTAATTAACCAGCAAACAGTGAGCAGAGCAGAGTACCTTGGGATGGCCAGCTCCATTTCCATAAATGCTGTTCCCCTTCCAGTCACTCCCCGGCGCGCCGTCAGCCCGACACTCTGTTAGCGTGCCAGGCCGGGAAAGCTGGGATTTACGCAGCTCTGCAAACAGCGTGCCCTCCGCCTGTGCTCTGGGCACTGCCAGCTGCGTGTGTGCAAAGACGAGATACAGCAAGTCACTTCACACACACCCAGGCCCCTTTTCATGCAGCAAAAGGTGGTTGTATCATTGCCAATTACAATTCTGTCCTCCTGCCCCACTGGCTAGAGTACTTTGCACACGCGTGGCGCTCTAGCCAGAGATGGCTCAGCCGGAACGTGGAACTCTCTCACCCAGTGTGCGCCCCGCACACTGGAGCAGATGGGGCAGGGCTGCTCCAGAGGATTAGAGCAGCAAAGGTTGTGGGGCTGGTTTAGAGAGGCTGGGGAAGGGGGGATGCTGGTTCAGGGTGTGGAGAGACTTGATGCAGCAGGACTCTGCTCCCCCACATGCACATGATCTGCTCTCCCCCTTGCAGGGGTTACTGCAACTGAAGAGAAACTGGTATTTGGGGTGGAGAACAACACTACTTTCCTCGAGTGCCTGGCGCGCTCTCCCCAGACGGCCATTCGGTGGCTCGTGCAGCGCAGCAGGGAGGCAGCCCTGGATGAGGTACTTGGGGAAGGGAAAAGCTAAATCATGGGGAGTGGTATGGCCAGACTCCCACGCTCCTCCCCAGTCCCTCAGAGGGGGTAGGACGGGGGGACGCTGCCCAGGCTGGAGCCTGGCCCATTGCACAAGCAGCTCAGCCGGCACAGTCAACGCCACCATCCCCGATTGACGAGCAGAGCATGTCACAAGCTGCAGCCCTGGCTCCATGGCAACAGCCCATGGGTAGCATCTCAGGGCGCTCTGCTTTTGACCCCTCCCTGTGTCTGCCCCAGGTGAGGACCGGTGACCGCTTCTCTATCCTGGAGCAAGGACTCCTGATCCGCCAGCTGGTGAGAGAGGATGCTGGAGTCTATCAGTGCCAGGCAGTGGAGCGTTCCTTCTCCCGCCCCCTCACGCACTACAGCCTTCGTGTCATTGGCCACGAGGCTATGGGGGCCAAACGGAGCAAGGGTGCCGAGGAGGGAGGCAGCCACCTGAGCGCCATGCCCGTACAGCTCCAGTACAAGGGCTACCCGCGGACCCCGGGGGCACCGGGCACCAGCCTGGACGAGTATTGCAATGCGCTCCGGCACCAGGAGAGGCAGCGGCAAAAGGCCTGGAACCCGAAGTGGCAGCATTCCTTGGAGAGCAAGAAAGGCCGAGTGCGGAGGCATCCCGACCCCCTGAAGCCAGCCAGAGCTGGGCTGAGACTAGTCTGATCTCTGCACAGTGCCCCCTGGGGGGCTTCACTGAACCAGTCTCCATTAGCCAGCCACGTCTCCAGAGCCCTTCTGAATGCACAGCCCTGGACACAGGTGCCAGCTCAGCCGCTGCCAAACTCTGCCTGCTGAGAGGCCCGAGGACTCGCCATGTACTACCTCAGCCGTGACACTGCCCTTTGCCATCTCCTGGAGCCTGGGGAGGGCCAGCGGACAGTGCAAATGCACTCAGACACCCCCAGACCAATGGGGCTGCTAAGTCCAGGAGGTGCTAGAACAGGGACTTCGCAGCCACGGCCTGGAGCAAACAGTCTGGTTACTAGGCCGGCTGACACAGACTGACGTGACGCGAGGACTTTAAACTATTTACATACCATGAAATATTTATTCTCTGCATTTTTCTTCTGTCATTTTCTTATTACGCCTCTTTTTATTAATGATAAATACTAGAAATTAAATAGAATGGAAACCCATGCTTCTTACCAGCCTCCCTTGTTATGGGGAATTGATACCCAGCCTCAGCAATACACTTCTCCCTCGGCCCTGGTGGAGTACAGAGGCCCCAGCCCCTTCAGGTAAGCATTGCAAGGCAGTTAGGGAGGATGACCCGCATGAGCTAGTGGACAGGGCCCAGGCTTGAGGAGGGAGGAGTTTGGAGTTCCGGTCCCAGAACTGCTACGGACTCAGTGTCTGGTGCGGGGCAAAATGGGAACAACCATAATTACCTCCCTCACTGCAATGTTTAACTAGTTATATTTTCCCCTTTACCAGCCATCTGGTCTTGTCGGAGAAACCCTCTGCAGTGCTGCACTGTTCTTGTGAGACCGAGGCAGCTGGAATGAATCTCCCTGCAGAATGGTACCAATGCTGGGAACTCGAAAGGCTGATGTCAGTCTTGGGCACCAGAGAGGCATAGCATTAATCAGGGAGGGTTCCCGCGCAGGGATCCTCCAACCCCAGAGAAAACCAAATGACATACATGTGGGGACATTCATCCCCTTGTGTCCGACAGGCCATTTACTGTGATGGAGGCAGCGACAGATGTTGTGAGGCCATGACAAGAAAGGCCGTTATACCCTGCAGGCAGGCTCAAGGCTGTCTCTTGCTGGCAAAAGGATATTAAACCTTCAGCATGGTATAAAAGTGGGAACAGGCTGTAACTGGCCCCATCCCAGGAGGATGAGAGTTTTCTGGTATCGTGGGCTGGGACATTAATATATGCAGTTTGTTGGCCAGGCTTGGAGCCTATCTGAACTAATCTGTACCTTAAGACCTTTCGGAGCCCCTCAAGGACAGGACAGACAACAGTTACCCCCTTCCACTCCTTTCTTCTGAGGCAGAATTTTAGGACCTTGCGAACATCCACCACATGGAGTTGGCATAGCTGAGGCTTGGGACGGAAGGCACGTAGGGAATTACACTGGTTGGTGTGAAAGGCAGAGCTGAGCTGACTGTCAGAATGAGATTTGAGTCTGAACCCTCAAGGAAAAGTGGAGAAATGTTCCTTAATGGAAAGGGCCTGGAGTTTGCTAACTGGGTGGGGGAAGGACAGGAACTTGGTGATACGAAGGTGGAGGACCTTGTGACATGTCTGCCTTATGGGGAAAGGGCTCTGAGGGCCCGCGCCAGAACAAGTAATTTAGGCCCAGCTCATTCTTGAAACCTGAAAAGAGGAAAATCAAAGTAGTTGGGACAGGGGTGGCAGAACAGGTCTATGCTGGAGTCCCCTCCCTGCAGCTTCCCTCTCATGCTGGGAGCAAGTACATAAGAGCACAACTGATTCACAGCAACAAAGGGAATAACTCCCTTGCAGTAAATATTCTGCCCTCTTACTTGTACAAAATAATGGAGTCTTAATACCAAAAGTCCTCACTGCAGCCCGAGGATATTAAACATTTGCTGAAAAGAGGCATGATTCTGTTGGGATAGTTCTCAAATAAAGTATGCACAATCAATTTTCATGTATCACCGATCAAAGTGAAATTTACCACAGCCCCAATTCAGCAAAGCACATGCTTAAAGTTAAGTCCCGTTGAATTCAATGGGAGTTAAGCACATGCCTATGTGCGTTGCTGAATCAGAGGCCTGACATCCTAAATGCACCAGGCTTTGTTTCTCTAACTCCAGTGCAATCGAACTCACTGAACCTCTTCCCAGCTCCCTGGCTCCGTCAACAATTTGTGAACACACAAATCCAAACCAAAGTCATTTCAGACAATAGTCGCTGTGGGTTTTTTTTTAATTTTGAAGTTTATTTTATCAAAAAAAAAAGAGAGAGAGAGAGAGAGAGAGCGCGCCAAGCGGCAGTTATATCAACTTACAATTTATTGATTTTTTAAAAAATGACATGAAACACAAGTAAAAATAAATACATCATATAAACAACAAATTGTTCAAAGTCTCTGTTCTGGGAGATCAGTGAGCACGCCCCGTTAGACAGAGAGAAGAGGGAAGCACATGATCATGTGTGCAGCCGGCCAACCGACACACCCTGCTACAGTAACTCCTCTTTCTGATCACAAAAGACAGGCCACAAACTAAGGCGGTATTAAAAACAGAAAAAACAAAATAAAAAACAAACATCATCAATGGATTCGCTCACGCTCCCCTATACAAGCAAATCTACCAGAGAGTTTCTGAATGCAAGCTAGATGGCTAACAGTACAGGACCCAAGACACAGTGCAGCTTTGGGCAGCTGTTAGTGGTATTGTTTCAGTACAGGGGGAATAGGGTGGAGCATATGGGGATTTCTTTTCTCTATTCCCTCCACCCTACACAGTTGATCACCCCCCACTTACAACATCCTCTCCCTTTGCAGATGGGTTTCTTTTCCTATTCAGCTTGCAAGGAGCCATTCCCAGTGTATCCTAGTTGGTCTAAATTCCCCCCACCCTCCTTCCCGCTCAAATTTGGACGACCTGATCTCACTTGAGAGAGCAGAGAAGCACATTCATTGTGAATGGAGTTGCTGTATTTTGCCCCTTTCTGTTCACAGAATGTCCACAGACCATGATTTTCTCTAATTAAGCAATTATTTGAAGTTATTAGCCAACATTTATCTGCTTACTGGTGCAAATGCCCATGAAAAACCAACCTGAATTTGCTTGCCAGAAGTATTCAAATGTGCAAGGTGAAAGGGCGCTCTCCCATCAGTATTTGTACTAGTGAAATTCAATCGCATGATTGTTCCCGGAGAGCAAAACGCAAAGTGAATTCTTTCATTCCCAGCAAAGCTTGAGAGAAGCTCGTTTGGCAGTTTTTGGAACTGAATGCGAGATGCTCCATCCTGCAGAACTGCGTGAACATACATTGCCCAAGACTGGACTGAGATTAGGTACATCCTAGAAAACTCACAGAAACATCACAGTTATGAGGTCACCTCTTCCCCTAATTCTGTCTTAGTGTCTTGTAGCAGTACAGTGTGGAATTTGCCCTGATATCCCTGCTGCTCCAGAAACTGCCATCTAAACAGTTTGGCCTAAGTAAGTAAAATCTACTCATTATAGTTAGATAGTGACTGAAAGGGGCAGCCAAAGTGCAACCCAAGTATTCCACAAGTCCCCAGGGCTTCTGTGCTCTGCCCAGGAATCTTCCTTAGTGTCCAACTGCTTATCAGAGAGCCCCTGTTCCTACTCTCAGTGTTATCTGCAGCACAAATATGTACTATAAGCTACTTTGGTCAGTCCATTTGGAGTCAGAAAATTAGCAGAGACAGCCCCATCACAGGGGTCAGGAAAGCAAAGAGAGGACCTATGTGTCAGCTAGAGAAAAGAGGAGTCTGGAAAGGAGAGATCAGGGAAAGAGAGAAGACTGAGGGTTGTGGAAGAGGAGCGAGGAGACTAGGGCCTAGTCTATACCTAAAACTTAGGTCCACCTAGCTACGTCGCTCAGGACTGTGAAAAATTTCACACCATAGTTAGGTCGACCTAACCCCCAGTCAAGACACAGGTAGGTCAATGGAAGGATTCTTTCATCCATCTAGCTTCCCCCTCTTGGAGAGGTGCAATACCTACGGCGATGGAAAAACTCTTCCATCCATGAAGAGCCTATACTAGGGCGTTACAGCAGCGCAGCTGCAGCGCCACAACTGTGCCACTGTAGTGGCTGTAATGTAGACATACCCTAGGTAAGGAAGTGTTGTGGAACAGGTTTCAGAGAGGTCTCCATTGTCAATACCACCTCTGAATGTCCAAGATATTCTTGAAGATTATAACAGCATCAGATAAAGGACTTTCTGACCTTCTATGCAAAAATCATTAAACAATTCTGATTCCTGGTCTCCGACATTAAACAGTTCTGATCCATGGTCTCAGTCTGCATTCCCTGAAGTTCATGTACTCAGAAGCACTGCCAGCCCTCTGGCACGAGAAGCTGCACCTTCCTGGAAGATGTTGCACACCCAGTGGATCTCAGTGGTCAGCATCTGGGAGATGGGGGCTTTATCAGCACTAACAGAAAACTAAGGCAGAGGAAATCACCTTCACAACCCTTCCTTCACTCCAGGTGACGAGATCATCTCTCCCAAAGGTTGTGATGCCCCAAATCAATGGGGTTTCATCTTTAAACCACTAGCTAGCTTTTGGGAGATGACGCATGGAAACTGGGAGGGTTTGTGGGGGAGGAGGTAGTCTGGATTGAGCATTTGTCAAGATGGAGCGGGAGGGAGAGAGGGACCCACCCACCAAGTGCTGGCTGGGGTACAGGATGGGGGTTCGACCCAGGCACTTGTGGGGCTAATTAGTCTCCAGTAGTTTATGGAGGATGTGCGCTCTAAGCACTGAATGTACTACGAACAGATAGGAGGAGATAGAAGTTTGCCAGGGACAGAGAAAGGTCCCTGTTTACAAGAGTCAGTTTAATGCGGGAATCTGCACAATGCAAAGAGCGTTAGTTTTCCTAGCGTTCTTGACTGAATACAAAAACCAGTGTTCAAAACAAGCACATTTTTAAACCTACTTGCTTGCAGGAAGTAAATATTCCATGTGAAACAACACTGTCATCCAGTGGCTGGGGAAGTAAATTACAGGGGTCCATTTCCTATGGCCATCAAAGGATCCCTCAGTCTCCAGTTCCTATGGCTACAGGGCTTGGTTAAATTAATCCCAGGTGCACCTATTCCTGTGAGCAGAAAAATTCCCACATTCCACCCACCAAAGTGAGGGTGTGCCAGAGGCCTGCCCAATTCAGTGCCTTCCAAAGTGCCCTCCAGAGGCCTCTGGTGCTTTCCTCATGAGGCAATGAGCAAAGTCTCCGTGAAAGCTACTGCAATTACAGGTACGGCATTCAGAACCATACGTTAACCTACTGTTTAGAGTCAAAATCTTCATGCCTCATCTGAGCAGAGAAAAGACACACAACATGCCCCCATTACAAAGAACTAGCAGGATCATTCAGATTAAACGTGCTACCCTGGCACAAACAACGAAGGAACCATAATCCATGCCAAAGGACTCTGGT